CCCCCTTCCATGGGGCTGGTGACAGCCCCCCCCCCATTGCAGCGCCCACCCCCCTGGGTATGTCCTTCAGCACAGTGTCCTCAACTCCAGCTGAGCTAGGGGGGTGGCAGGTTGGGTTTGCCGCGCCATCCAGAACTAGAGCGCCAGGTGCTAACCCACGTCACACCCCTCATTGCTGCCCCTCACTGCTCTGTTCACTGGGTTGAGCACATACTATTTTATTAATTGAGGATCTACCCCAGTGGGGCAGATGGGTACCCTTCCCAACTACCGTTCCCCTTTCAGGAGGCTGAAGCTAGGGGGGTGGCAGGTTGGGTTTGCCGCGCCATCCAGAACTAGAGCGCCAGGTGCTAACCCACGTCACACCCCTCATTGCTGCCCCTCACTGCTCTGTTCACTGGGTTGAGCACATACTATTTTATTAATTGAGGATCTACCCCAGTGGGGCAGATGGGTACCCTTCCCAACTACCGTTCCCCTTTCAGGAGGCTGATTTGTCTTGCGCACCCTCCTGTCACCTCACTTAAAAATGACGCGCTTGCAAAATCAAATATGAAACTACAAAAGTGTCACAGCCCGCTAGTACTGAAAAATGGCTCACTGTCTCATTTGCACCATAGAATTATAAAGTCAATCAATTGGAATATACTTATCTACTTACTTTTTTAGGATACGGCAGTATAAACAAGTCACTGGGTGTGTCTAGACTACAGGGTTTTGTCGACAAAAGTGGACTTTTGTCCACAAAACTATACCTGCGTTTACACTACCGCCGAGTTCTGTCGACAGAAAGTCAACAGAATGCAGCAGTTTTGTCCACGGCAGTAAACCTCATTCTCTGAGGAATAACACCTTTTGTCGACAGAGTTCTGTCGACAAAAAGCGCTATTGCATCCACACTGTGCTTTTTCAAAAGAGAGCGTCCACACTCTGTCAAAAAAGCGGCTTACTTTGTCGTCAGAACTGGCTGTAGTCTAGACACTCTGGGTATGTCTAGACTACATCCCTCTGTCGCCAGAGGGATGTAAATTAGACGTACCGAAATTGCAACGAGGTTTACAGGTCAGAAAAGGCTTTCCTTGTCAACTGATCCCTGTCTAGACTGCCGCTTTTTGCCAGCAAAGTGCTGGATTGGCAAAAAGGGGTGGCCATTTTTATCCTAATGAAGCGCAGGATATTTAAATCCCTGCTTCATTAGCAATTTCAGTATGTCTAATTGACATCCCTCTGGCAACAGAGGGATGTAGTCTAGCCATAACCTCTTTGTCGACAGCATCTGTTGACAAAGCCTCTGTCGACAAAAGCCTGTAGTCTAGATGTACCCTGTATGTATGAAATTTTAGTTTGTACTGACTTTGCTAGTGCTTTTTATGTTGCCTGTTGTAAAAGTAGGCAAATAAGTTAGATAAGTTGATGTGCCCTCTGGAAGGCCTCTGTGCACCCAGCGCTGCAAATCCGTGAATATCCATGGTTCATTTTTGTGGATGTGGATGCAGATACAAATTTTGTATCCATGCAGTGCTCTCCACCCTCAGAAGTACACATTCCACTGATTGAGAACCACTGTGTCAGACTTTGAATAGACACTGGATAAGCAGTGCAGATTGAGTGACTGGTTATTAGCAATAAGGTAAATTCACATGCAGGCATTTATTTTTCCTTTCCAACATAGCAGCTAACTCTATTTCTTAAGACTTCTCACAACCTTCAACCTCTGTCATAAAAGAAATTGGCTTGCCATTTTTATGTTCTGCAAGACAGGCATGGCTTCTGTTCCTTCCTGCCTCCTGCAGCCCTAACCACATGGTGAGTATTTAGCTAATTATCTACAGTCTGTGTACTAATATTCCATCCGGAAATAGTGTTTCAATGGCAATAGATAGAAGCCCTGGATTATACTGTGGCATTCTGGTCTCTGGTGGCATTCTACAACTCTAATGCCAAATACACAAGAGTTAGAAAGCTGAATCTTCACTAACAGAATATATTGACCACTACAGCAATCATGGGATTAGGAGACCAGGCAATAATGACTTTCCATTAGGTAATGAATGAGATGTTTTAAATCCGTGGTCCCCAACCCGGTGCCCACGGGCGCCATGGCGCCCGCTGGGCCCTTTACGTGCACCCGCGGAGCAATCTGGGCTGGTACCAGCCCCGGCAGAATCCCTAGTCCATGGATGCAGCAGGGAGCCTCAGGCAGACTCCTTGCCTCCCTCCCCATCTGCCCTTCCCCCAAAAAAACTGCTGCGGAGCTTTGAACAGTTGTGAGCCTTCATGGGCTGCTCCCACCACCAGCACAATCCCATGGGCCAGTTTCAGAGTAGGGGGCTGCTGCTCTGCTTGGTGTCCTAACCACAGCAATAGTGTGAGAGTCCCTTGCCCATAAGGCAGACAGGCTGTGCCCCAGGACAGGCGGTGGGACTGGCTGGGGGGTTGCTGGCTGTAGCAGGAAGGGCCCAAGAGTGTAGCTTCTCTTCCCTCCCTCCAGCTGAGCTGAGTGTGTCCCCCCCCCCTCCTGGCCCTTTGCTGCAGGAGGGGCCACTGCTGCTTTAGCAGGTACTGTCAGGCTCTGCCCGCCCCCCACGTCTGAGGGGTGATTCCCCCTTCACGGCTATCACCTCAGTCCCACATTCTAGTGGGAAGTAAAGGGACCGTCCCTAGTGGGAAGTAAAGGGACCATAGGAAGTAAAGGGACCGTCCCTTTTGAATGGCATCTGATTCTGTTGCAGCTTGCTCAGAGTACGAGCTGGTTTGGAAATGCCTCTGAAGCGACTACACTTTTCACAAAGCCATCCCTCTGTATCGGATCCCTCAGGCCTCGCCCTCAGAGGAAGCCTGTACAACAGCATTAAAAATAAAATAAAATAAAAAAGAGAGAGAGAGAGAGAGAGGGGAATTTAAATTCATACCTTTGCTAGATGCTACAAAATATGGACTGGACAGACACACTGGATTTAGGATTCATTACACCAATCTGTGACCCTCTTCACTAGCCCATGACCAGGAAGTTGTTAAAGGGCCACTGCACTTTAAAGTGGTCCTTTGAAAAATGTGTTAGCTATTTGTGCTAAACCACCTGCTCCATCTTCTATCTGACAGTGACACTGACTCGGAGCGTATCTCCCAAACCCGAAGAGCTCCGTGTAGCTTGAAAACTTGTCTCTCTCACCAACTCAGATTGGTCCAGTACAATTTATATAAGACAGTACCTCGGCCAGCTTGTTTCTGTGAGGTAACAGCACGTCATACGTCCCCTTCTGATCAAGCCTTGTGGATGCCCCTCAGCTACCAGCATGGGGGCAAACATGGTTCTTCAGAGCCCAAAGGATTAAAGCTGGAGACCATCTTCTGAATGTGGCTTCAAATACAGGCAGATTTCCAATTAGCCATTTGAACTGATGAATCAGGCCCATAGGCAGGGGGAATGCAAAGGGTACGACCCTGGGCCCACCAGAGCATGGGGGAGGGAGGCTTTGGCAGTGTGCCATGCCTGCCTTTCTCTGGCTGGCCGGAGCATGCTTACCTGGGGGACCATTGGAAGAGGGGGTGCACTCGCACCCTTGCAGTCTACATTTACAAAGAAAGCACCCAAAGAAATTCCTGTGCATGGTCGTGAGGCGGTCTGTGGATAGTTCTGAGACACACGCTTAGGTGGCTGCATGTGAGAGAACGAAGGGCTGCCTTCCTCATTAGTGGCTCTCAGATGTGGCTCCACTAATTAGGTGCCTGGAGCCTTACATGCTTCAGGGGGTAGCTGAGTTAGTCTGTTACAGAAAAAAAAACAGCAAGCAAGTGGTCTGGTAGCACTTCGTAGTCTAAAGTGCTACCAGACCATGTAAGGTGAGGTGGTTGGTATCTCATTTGGAGTTCCACAGTTTAGAAATAAATCACTGGAAACACAGAGAGCTTTAGCAGTTGCAAGTGTCCATTTTATTTCATAACACAGAACTAACTAAAACCA